TTTTGTTTGGGTGTTGCTCTATTAGTGGGCATAGTGGACATGGTCAATGTCTTTTGCCTGGGGTAGAAAATGAAGATATTATAAGATAAAGGGAGAAAACATTGACGTTGTTGAATATGCATTTGTTGGTGTAGGTGTTGTTGCTATTTTCTTAATTTCTTCTTCTTTAGTGGATGGTTGTGTTTTAGCTGTGATTAATTTATGTGCCTTCAATGTTGGTTGGGTGGTGCAGTGTGTGCGCATCAATGGAAGATTCCCTGGCCTCTTTTGGTTCGTGGGAAATATTTCAGAGGTAATGAAATTTCATGGACAAGAGATTACCAGAAGGTTTATTTAATTGTTTGGTTGATGAAAAAGAAATTACTGAGAATATTGATTCCGTTGTTTTGGTAGGAGTTTGAATGGTGATGAATAATGAGTATAAAGACTAAAATGCTCTTATACAAGTGACGGATATATTATACACACGACCCGACCCGGAGTAGCAACGCGGACCCGGAGCACCACGTTGGAACCCAAAAGCACCCCGGCCCACGACACCTTGGAGGTGCCCCAACCCGAGCCGAGTGATGTTGGGCTGGGGTCTGGTAGCTCGACCCTACCCAAGCTCGGGCCATAACGAGCTCGGGGTAGGGGAGCTTGGCACTACCTGAGTCCGGGGACCCGACCCGACCCAGTCCACCCGGGTCCCCGGTCAAAGGGCGATCTAACCGCCACCCTCTTTAGGGGGAGCGGTTGGGGGGTTTGTTGCATATAAAAACTCCCCACCTCACCTTGTTAGGACAACTACTTCCAATTCTACACACTTTGTCTTATTAAATCCTTGTAATATCCAATTCTACGACATTTAATATAATATACGGTCTCACGGCCTTTACGACACCATTCCGTATTATTTATTTATTATTTATATTACGTTCTTATCCGGATTTATTGATTCGGGTCTATCCCGGGTTAATTAAATTATCATTGGTGCTCTGGTTGAGAGCTGCTGTACCAGCTCAAGCGTGTTCTATATTCATTGGTCTACCGCGACCAGCTACTATGGCAAGATCGAGATCCAACTCTCGCCATACCAACGGTTCCCGCAGCACCCAACTTGTCTATCAGCCGGGAACGGCCCCAACGGGGTCCCCAGCCTTCAACCGGCCACCTCTGCCAGGTCGAGGGGAGACATGAGGGATCGCCTCACCATCCACCGCAGCGGCGGTGACCCACCTCCAGCCGCCCCCGTTCCGCCCCTAGCCCTTGTCCGCAAAGGGGTGGAGGTCTTTGAGCAAGCCTCCACGGTGCTAGCCCGGGTCGCGCGGGGCCTCCGAGCAAGTGTGCTTGCTGAACCAGGCGTCAACCAAGGGCTACCGGCACCTCTTCCACCTCCTCCCACCCGGGGGCGCAGCGGTTCAAGCACCCGGCCATCCCAGGCACGCATCACCCAAGGGGAGGTCAATTCGCCCCACCAGACGAACACACGGGACGGTGGACTGGGTTGGTAATGACACGACGTGCAATCAAGCTATACCATCTCTCGTATTCTTCTAACCACGTTTGGTCATTATCATCATCAGCCACCGCATTCACGACATTTTCTTCGCGGCTTTCCCATTCAAACAAGTATTTCATGTGCCTAGTGCTCCAGTCTGTGCCCCTTTTCCCTCTCCCATCAATCTTGCGCAAGTCTACTCCGGTGTCAAAGTTGGCCGGGGGCGGCTGCTTGAACTTCCCAAACTGGCGGAGAACTCTGTCTGGTAAGTGCCACTCTACAATCTCATACATGATTAGAGGAGACTTCGTCATCCAGACGTGCTTCCCTGCTTTGCAATAATCTGGTAACTCATCCAACTCGTTTTCATATGGTCTCCATTTAAACTGCACTCGAAAATGCAATTGAATTATTAATACATTAAGTGGTTTGCATGTTTCAGTACTGTGTGTATAAGAATATAAGTATCTTGGTACATACATGACTGTCCTCTTTCATATTGTCAAGTTGATCCCTGTAAACTTTTAATACATGACTGGCTACATCGCCAAATTCTTTAGAAGTACACCACCTGCAAATAGCATAGTAAGTAGTGGTTAGTTTGGCTCAACTAATTGTACAATGGCTTTGCCTTAAAAATTAAATATGGTCCTACTACTCTACTAGTGAGTGTAGTGACTAATAATTTTACCTGTCAGAAAGTACAAACATGGTCTTGGATTAGTATAATTTTGAAATAAATTAGTATAATTGTTTTAATTTTTTAAAATTTTATGTTCCTGCCTTTTTTTTAGCGGTACCTATTGGACCATATTTATTTTTTTTAAACACATGGTCTTGGATTAGTATAATTTTGAAATAAATTAGTATACAAGCATATATATATATATATATAGAACAAATTGCACTTTTGGTTCTGTGAGTATTAGGGTACTGACAATTTGAGTACGTGACTTTCAAAACTCCCAATTTAAACCTTTAACTATGCAATTTTTGGCACATTTGGTCCTCCGGGCCAAATTGCCGACCAATTTTGGCCGGAAAAAGATTTAATGTTTCGAATTAATTTCTGATGAGGGTAAAAATGTCATTTCACTCTCTTCTTCTTCATTCACCCCTTCTTCTTCGTTCTTCTTCTTAAATTGGGAACAAAGACACATTCTCTCTTCTGCTTCTCCTTGGATCAAGAAGCACTGAGCTCTGTTACTGTGAAGAACGATTCTCTCTTTTCTCAGTTTCAATGGACACAAATCCAGAGCTTTCTTGTAAATTGCTACCGCTTCTGCAACTTTCCTGCCCAGAATTTCTGGTTCCCTTCTTTCTTCAGCATGGAAACCATTACTCTCCTCTGCTTTAATTCCTTTTCAGATATTAATTCGTCTCGTTTTCTTCTTCCCACCTTCAAGTCCTCCCCAGATGGAGCTCAGTTGTGTCAGGAATTCTTGGTTGCAGATCAGATTGATTGATCTTTTCTTTCTGCAAATTCAGAGGAGTTCATAGTGTTGGAGCCAATGATGTGAGCTGCATAGTATGGGATGGACATATTATTGCAGTTTCTGTCATTGATGATGAGCTTAGCCATGCAAGGGAAGAGCCCGAGGGCCGGGAACTCGGGGTCATCAGGCTTAGCCACAGCAATTCTCCAGACACCAGTTAGGATGATCAGAAGCTCTTTGTCATCTCTGAGAGGCAATTCTCTGAAGCATTTGGCTATTCTGGATCTTCTTGCAGATGGATCTGGTTCAGCCATGGTGCAGAAGAAACACCCAGGATTATTACTATTGTTGTTGTAGTTTTTGCATGTCTTCTGGGCTGTTTGGATCATATCTTTAAGAAGTGGTGATATGATTGGGGCTGTTGTTGAAGCTTTGGGACAAAGTTAAAAAAGATGTGTTTTTTTGTGAACAAAGTGCTCTCACTGCAACTCTCTGCTCAACCCAGCTCATCTTCCCTCTCACATCCACGCCAATGGATTACGCGGCAAATAAATCTTTGTTCTTCACTCCCAATTTAAGAAGAAGAAGAACGAAGAAGAAGGGGTGAATGAAGAAGAAGAAGACAGTGAAATGACATTTTTACCCTCATCAGAAATTAATTCGAAACATTAAATCTTTTTTCGGCAAAAATTTGCTGGCAATTTGGCCCGGAGGACCAAATGTGCCAAAAATTGCATAGTTAAAGGTTTAAATTGAGAGTTTTGAAAGTCACGTACTCAAATTGTCAGTACCCTAATACTCACAGGATCAAAAGTGCAATTTGTTCATATATATATATATATATATATATATATATATATATATATATATATACCTGGCAGCTCTAGGTCGATCTATTAGGTCCTGAGGGAGGGAGTGTATGTTCGGAGAGAATAAGGTGATACGCTCCCAAACCCACAATTGAAGAAGAATGAGGGCAACGCTAATTTGAGTAGCATTACCCATGGCCACCCTGCACATGCTTCGATACAAATGGGACCTGCATTATCTATGAAGCTGTTGTCGATTAAGAACAGAATTGCAAATGGGACCTGGTTCAATTTGTGCCATGTTCTACAAAGCCAAACCAAAAAAAAAAAAAAATGTTGAAACATAAACATTGTTATATATACCTCTACAATACACATGGAAACTAGAAATTTTTGGTAATTCTATGTCCCTAATACAACAGGACTAGTTGTTTATATGGGTAAAACATCTGTGGGAAGACAATGGAAGAGAAAATATAAGAAAAGGAACATAGAGATAAGATGGGAACTAGTGAAAAATAATTTATCAATCATATTTTATTTATTCCGTTCAAAAGCGAGTTATATGTTTACAATTCAATTTTTATATATTAAATTTATTGTTAATGAAATTTTTTTGTATATTTATATTATGTTATATCTGTATTAATAATAAAAACAAAATTTTGAATTTAAAAATTATGAAAACAATATTTAAGAAAATAAGTGGATAACTTCTTTTATCCTAATGTTATTCTCATATTATTTATCATCATTTTCCCTGACTTTCTTCTCAATTTTTGAAGGAAAGAATCTTCAATAAAACATAGGATTGGGTTGTTTTATCCAAATTCCTAAGCGCATTTTCTCCTCAAAATATCTTCATACCCTTTCTTTTTTCTATTCTCATCCAAATAAAATAAGCAAATTAAAGTTCTCAAAGACTTCTATAATGTTTTTTTTCCCTTTTTAGTATAATATCTTCATCTTCTACCCAGCCCAATCACATTGACAATGCCCATTGTACCACTAGTTGAACAACACCCAAACAAAATTCAACCATAAATAACATGCATATTTTCATCACAAGCATTTTTATTAATATAAGATCATATATATAGTTATACATTCAAAGAAGTATAATATATAGCAGATTAGAATAAATTGCTTTCTGTTATTGTAACAAATTAAAGGATAATAGACTTTCTAAAATGGTACAAATCACTTATATATCTAGCATTTGCACTCTTCACCTATGTAAGACAAAGTAATGTGAGTGAAATAGAGTAGAATTACCTTAATGGAATGTATTGATAATTAGAAATTCGGTCTTCCCTGGAGTGAATGAGTTCACCTGCTGAAATAATAGAAATCACTTGTAGATTTATAGTTTGTTATCGATCTATACCTGTATAAGACAAGTAGTGAAAAGTTAAATAGAATATAATTATCTGAAAACAATGTGAGCAGTGATGATAAATCGAAATTTCATAATAATAAAAAACGGCTTCACTTGCTTGAAATTGTAAAATTCCTTAAAGATTAGAGTATAATTACCTAGAAGGAAGGGTAAACAATGACAGAAAAAGTTAGTCTTTGTTGGAGGAAACAAGTTCAATTGGTTGAAATGCTAGAAATCGCGTTATGGAGAAGATGATAGGTGTTGGATAGAACGAAGAAAAGTGGATATTAAAAGCGGGTTAGGGTTGCGAGGGCAACACCCGATACAGTACGCGGGTTATTTTGTACATGTACAATTTTAGGGTTGAATACAAATATTTTGCTTGTAACCCTAGAGGTATGGTTAGAGCTTGGCGGAGTGGGTAGCAGAGCGTTGTAGTAAAAAATCCTTACTGATTTTGTGTTTTCTCTTTACATCCGTACAAGAATGCACACGAAATAGCTATAGTTAAATTACCTTAAAAGAAGATGAACAATGAAGAGAAATTCAATCGCCCTCGGAGGAAACCAATTCACTTGCCAGAAATGGTCAAAATCATTTACAGATCTTTGGATTGCTTTCTATACATGTGCAACACTAAAAGTAACAAGTCAAACAGAGTAGAATCACATATAAGGAAGGTGAACAATGATGAGAAATTGAATCAAGATCTTAGCGAAAATTGAAGAAATAGGTGAGAAGAAATTGTGGTGAACAGTGATCAATTCAGATTGAAATCTTAGTAAAACTGGAAGAAGATTGGTGAAAAGCGATGAAACGGTGTGGATTTTAACATTTTGAGGTCCATTAAATGGATTGAGTCATATACAGTGGCAAATTTTACTGTGGACCATGGTCCAAAACTGTGCCGTTTCCTTTAATGAAAAAGAAATGACACACGTTCCGTGTAATTGCTTACGGTTTTCTAACATATTTAGTTTCATTTTATATACATTGCAGTTTCATCTCAACACAACTATAGTTTAATTTTGTTTCAATTACAGTTTTAGTTGACATTATTATACATATAGTAGTCTTATTACAGTGAGACCTGTTATTGAATTTCATTTTATACACACCATAGTCTTATTGCAACACCACTAAATTAGTATTCTAATTAAACTATGGCTTCATTGGACAATATGCACTCAAATATGTGAAACGGTTATTCATTTTCATTTTATATACATTGTAGTTTCATTACAACACAACTAAAGTATCATTTCGATATAACTACAGTTTCATTTGACAATATACACTCAATATGTGAGACATGTTATTCAGTTTCTTTTTATACATAGTGTAGTTTCATTTCAGCAAAGCTAAAGTATCATTTCAATTCAACTAAAGTTTTATTTCACAATATACATTCAATATGTGAGACATGTTATTCAGTTTTATTTTATACATACTGCAGTTTCATTTTGACACAACTAAAGTATCATTTTAATTCAATTACAGTTTCATTTGATAATATAAGCACAATATGCGACACAATTTCATTTTACATACACTGTAGTTTCATTTTGTTCTGAACACACCAAAAATACAGAATTTGTTAAATTTGTTCTGAACACACCAAAAATACGGAATTTGTTAAAATTTAACGGCTGACATTTCTTTACTTAAAGAAACGACACTATTTTCGGACCATGGTCCACTGTATAACAACTGCATATACAATTGGACCAATTAATTTGTTAAAAATTGATGGGCTTCTTAGTTGTATAATTTAAATGGTCAGAATATTATATGTTTGGGCCATGATTTTATTTGAGTGAAATCCATTTTTGGTCCTACTGTTATAGGGGCTTTTTTAATTTTAGTCCACCATAATTATTTTTGCCACATTGCGTCCACTATTATTAAAAGTGTTCCAATTTTAGTCCATTTTTAAATTTTTCGTGGACTAAAATTGGAACACTTTTAATAATAGTGGACGCAATGTGTCAAAAATAATTATGGTGGACTAAAATTGAAAAAGCCTCTATAATAGTAGGACCAAAAATGGAATTCACTCATTTTATTTTATATATTTATAACATCCTATCCTATATATAAAAAAGTCAAACAGATTTTGGTGGAAAAATCCCGCCCAACTAATACGACAACGTTTGGAGGGAATGCAATGCAATATTGAAAAAAATTAGAGTCCCAATATGCAAAAGTACAGTAATAAATGCAAAGTACAGTAATAAATGCAAACTGCAAAGTACAGTAATAAATTTAGAGTCCCATGATGCAAAATTATTACTTTACTCACATGTCTAATCCTATTTGAATTCTAATGGAGATCTATAAGTATTCATATTGGCTAAAGTTTTACGGTAGTAATTTTTTAAAAAAATTTATTGATTGCCAAGAAAAATCTTTATTTGTCTTGAGATTTTGGGTTTGCTTTTCAGAACATGCATACAACGTCTCTCTATATATATATAGTTAGAAAGCATTGTTTATATCCACACAAATTCTACATATTCTACCACATCTTCTCTTTGGTACTAAAAAGCTGTTTATTGAAACACCATACTTGGGTTGCAAATACATCCAGATCATATTACGAAAGCCACAGATTGACAAAGATTAGATTATCTTTCAACTCCGATTGGTGATCTAACTCAGCTTTAGCATAGTGCACAGAGGTAAAACTTATCTAACTCAGCCTTAGCATAGTGCACAGGTAAAACTTACTGCATTTAACAAAATTTAAATTCATCACAGTAATTTATTTTTAATGTGTTTCATTTTTATTATGATTTGGAAAACAGTGATACTCATTTCAGTGGTGTGCCTTTAATATTTTACAGATATGTGAAGACATCATTTAAAACACATTTCTAATATGATTTTGAATTTTTACAGCATATAAGACCAACCATCGGTTCCAAACTGCATTCAAAGAGCTTTTCTAAATAGCCTTAGCCTGGGGTAGATACCACATTTTCCAGAAATGAAGCAACTATCAAGTTCAACAGTTATAGGAAACAAGAGGAAGATACCATCATCATCTACCAAAGGTTAGTCAAGAGTACAATTTGCATTCTACATATATATTCTGCTATATCTTAAATCATAAACAGTATGAAATACATAGATAGAAAAGAACACTAAAACATGTAAATATCTTCTACATCCTAGATCTGTACTCAGATCTTACATGCATGTGTTCAATCTTGCCTATACATACAATATAGAAGACATAGAAGTGTAGATCTGTTTCTCGAAAGATTGAAGTATAAATAAAGAACTAGAATCGCTGAATTGAAGAAAGATGTTACCCATCTGCGAAACCAAGTTGAAACAGCTAAAATTGCACAACTGTATCCTAAGAAATATAGTAATGGACTTCAAAAACGGAGTAATGGAGTAATATTCTCGGCGATGACTGGGAATAACACATCTTCGACCCATAAATTTGTTGGAGATTCCGAAATACAAATACAGAACCATGTGAGATGGGAGGCTGTGATTTCTAGAATAAATCAGGCCATCCAAAACCATCCACACAATATATATTATATTATATATGTTATTCTCAAAAAAATATTTATATTATATAATAAATACATATTATATATATATATATATATATATATATATATATATATATATATATATATATATATATATATATAAAATATGTATTTAATATTTTATATATAAAGAACATGTATCTATAAAATAATTATTAGAAAATTACATTGGTAAGTGTAACAAGTTATTGCACATGCATAAGACTGGTATGACTTTAACTAATGTACTATGTTTTTGTTCTATTGTTAGAAAATTCTTCATCTACACCGAATAATAGTGGATCAAGTCCGATGCTCATGTATGGGGTATTTCAAAGATCGCTATTGACTCCTTTGAGTGTGTTGACTAACGGTTAGTATTAAGTTATTTTAAAAAAAAGATATTATGAACAAATACTTCTCTAATCTAATTTTATTATTATTCTTTTAGATCGAAATGTTGTTAATACGACTATTCGTAACACAAACAACAATTCTATATTTTGTGGGACATATCAGACACCAACTTGCAAGAACGAAGCAGGTAAAAGAAAATACATCCAACGTAGACATTAGTACAATTTAATATCAAATATATGTACAAATTTATTTATAATGTATTAATTATGAGTTTATTAGTGAAAATTACTTTTCCTTTGTAGTACAAAATATGAGCTCTATATGCATTGATAAGAACAAGGCTACTGCCTCCAGTAGGCTGAAAGATACGGTTGAACTAACACCTTCTTTGCCTTGTAGTGACGTTACAAATGGTAAGCTTAAACTTTTAAAATTTTTGTAATCATTTTGGTAAAGTCATTGTTATTTAATACACCTACACGTAAGTACATAATAATTTAAACATGTAAATTTTGGATAATATAAATTTAAGACTATAGCATCAATTTTGTAGGTAATGTTAACACTACAGTCGATTTTGCAGGAATGCCTACAAGAAATATTCCAAAACATCCTCTTACACAGGTGGTAATATGTCGGGACTTGAGTCAACAATTTGACGAGGTTCATGAAGATGTAGTAAATTATGGTAATTTATCTTTTCACTAATTTTTTTAAATGTTTATAATTGGAACTATAATTAAGCAGTTCTATATTAGCTCACAAGTCATTTGTTTCAATTGCGATGTAGTTGAATATGCTGATTGTGGTGATCCTATGTATAGTTGTGAGCATTGTTCTGCAACATTTTGGTACAATGAGCGCTTAAGCCAGTCTAGGGTCAAGTCATCTCCAAAATACTCGGTTTGTTGTGCACATGGGAAAATAAAATTCCCGTAAATGTCTATCCCGCCAAAAGAGTTGTATGATTTGTTCTTTGCAATAGGGGAGAAGCGAACATGTTTTTTGAACAACATTAGGTCATACAATAGTATGTTTAGTTTCACATCCATGGGTGGTAAGATTGACCATACAATTAATCGTGGTGGTGCACCACCTATTTTTAGAATCAATGGTCAGAATTTCCACTCAATTGGTAGCTTATTACCCCAACATGGTAATCAACCGAAATTTGCTCAATTGTATATTCACGACACAGAAAATGAGATTAATAATCGTATTGGCTCTGTAAGGTATGTGATTTCCTGACATATACAAAATAGTGTTGGTTAGAAACTAATATTAATTATTACGTAGTAGTTTCTTTTATTAAGGTTATTCATTATTCTTTGTTAATAATTACTTTTTTAATTGTAGGAAGAACAACGATAAAGATAGCATTCATGTTGATGTTGTTTCCGATATTAAAAATGTTCTTGACGAGAATAATGTTTTAGTCAAATCATTTCGCAATGCCAAGACACAAATTGAATCAAACACATGTGTAGAAATCAAGATGAGACTAATTGGTAAACGAAATAAAGATGCCCGAACATATAACCTACCAACAGTGTCAGAGGTTGCAGCACTCATTGTGGGCGACTTGGACCCAACAATGGGCGAACGTGACATATTGGTTGAGACACGGTCTGGCCTCTTGAAAAGGATCAGTGAATTGCACCCATCATACTTACCTTTGCAATATCCAATCTTATATCCATATGGTGAAGATGGTTACAGAGAGGATATACAACTGTGTAGAGATTCCAACATCCAAACAAATGGTAGGCATCGTATTTCAGCAAGGGAATTCTTCTCTTTTCGCATTCACGAACGGCCTGGAGAATTATCAACATTGCTATTCTCTAAGAGGTTATTTCAACAGTTCGTGGTAGACGCATACACAATGGTGGAAACAGGAAGGCTTATATACATAAGGAACAACCAAAAATCCTTAAGGTGTGAAGCTTATAAAGGGTTGTCAGATGCACTTACGCGTGGTGAGATTGATCCTAGCACACAAGGCAAGCGTATTATTCTACCATCTAGCTTCACCGGTGGTGCTCGGTATATGGTACAAAACTACCAGGATGCTATGGCCATATGTCGTTGGATAGGTTATCCAAACCTATTCATCACATTCACATGTAATCCTAAGTGGCCTGAAATTCAACGATACCTATCTCAACGTGATTTAAAAACTAAAGATAGACCTGACACTGTCTGTCGTGTTTTTAAAATGAAGTTGGATGATCTGATAAAGGATTTGCGATCAGGAGAATTATTTGGTACAGTTAGAGCAGGTGAAGTCCTTTTGATAATAAAATAATCAAATGTTACTTTACATAAATATTAGATCAGTACTAATTACTTTTTTTTTTAGTGATATACACTATTGAGTTCCAGAAGCGTGGTCTACCGCATGCTCACATTCTACTGTTTTTAGCAAACAATAATCGGAATGCTGATTCGAATTTCATTGACACAATTATATCAGCAGAGATACCGAACAAAGAAGTGGATCAACAATACTACGACGTTGTAGAAGAATTCATGGTCCATGGTCCTTGTGGACATGTAAGAAAGCAATCTCCTTGTATGGTGAATGGGAAGTGTTCAAAGCATTTCCCCAAAAAATTTGTTGACTCATCCAATTTTGATGAAAATGGTTACCCAATCTATAAGCGTAGAGATGATGGTAAGATTGTAACCAAAAATGGTATTCAATTGGATAATAGATATGTTGTACCACACAACATGCACTTGCTTCTGAAGTATAGGGCTCATATGAACGTGGAATGGTGCAATCAATCAAGGTCCATCAAATACTTATTCAAATATGTGAATAAAGGGAATGATAGGGTCACAGTCGAGTTTTATAAAAGCACCTCTGACGATCATGGTAATGAAGTTATTGATGAGATAAACATGTACTATGACTGTCGGTACATATCAGCTTGTGAGGCTACATGGCGTCTGTTTAGCTTCGAGGTGCAATTCAGAACACCAGCTGTTGAGAGGCTAAGTTTTCACTTACCAGATTGTCAAACAATTATATTTGAGGATGACGACACAGTTGACAACGTTCTGATGCGAGAGACAATTGGTCAGAGTATGTTCAATGGATGGTTTGAAGCCAACAAAAGGTTCCCTGAGGCAAAGTTACTAACTTATATTGAGATGCCAAATAAGTTTGTTTGGAAAAAGGACATCCGAGAATGGAATCCAAGAAAGAAAGGGTTTTCAATTGGTCGTATTTTTTATGTACCTCCTGGTACTGGAGAGTTGTATTATTTGAGATGCCTTCTAAACATAGTTCGTGGACCTACAAGTTTTGAGGAGATCCGATGCTTTAATGGTGTACAATACCAGTCATTTAGAGATGCATGTTATGCACGTGGTCTATTAGATGATGATAAGGAGTATATTGATGCTATTAAAGAAGCAAGTCATTGGTCATCTGCTCAATCTATGAGAAAACTTTTTGTCACGTTGTTGACATCAAATTCATTTAATAGACCAGAAATTGTTTGGAATGAGGTTTCTCATTTCCTTTCTGAAGATGTACAATATAATCAGCGCAGACTTTTATTAATAACAGGTTCGCATTAATTATAGATTTATGGTGAAAGATTTGCTTTTATTCTTATCCAATACTTACAATATGTAATTTGTGTCTTTATTTACAGATTTGGTGTTAACAAATGATGAGAAGGAGAATTTAACTCTAATAGAGTTAGAGAAGTTGTTAGAAGTCTACAACAAATCTTTAAAAGACTTTCCTCCAATGCCTCAACCGATTTGTTCTTCTTCAAGGCTAAATGGTAATCGTTTGTTGTTTGAAGAATTGTCATATGATCGTGCAGCCCTTGCAGATGAGAGTGTTAGGTTGGCAGGGCAACTAACTCAAGAGCAAAGGGGTGTGTATGATACAATAATTGGAGATGTTGCATCTAACGGTGGTGGATTATTCTTTGTTTATGGCTACGGCGGAACAGGGAAGACATTCCTATGGAAGGCTCTATCTTCCACATTGCGGTCGCAAGGTGAAATAGTTATCAATGTAGCTTCAAGTGGCATTGCTTCGCTACTTTTGCCTGGAGGTAGGACTGCACACTCAAGGTTTGCTATACCTATTAATATTAATGAGGACTCCACATGTAATATTAAACCAGGTGGCGACCTTAGTGAGTTGATTGTCAAGACAAAGCTAATCATTTGGGACGAAGCTCCCATGATGCACAAACATTGCTTCGAAGCACTAGATAGAACTATGCGAGACTTGCTGCGCTTCGCAAATCCTCTCAGTGAGATTTCTACATTCGGTGGTAAGACGGTCGTTCTAGGTGGTGATTTCAGGCAGATCTTACCTGTAATTCCAAAGGGGTCGAGGCAAGATATCGTTTCTTCAACAATCAATTCATCCTACCTTTGGCAGAGTTGTAAAGTACTTTGGTTGACCAAAAATTTGCGCCTACATCGTTTGGAGAATGTCCTAGAAATAGAACAGGTAGAACAATTTGCAGAGTGGATTGCTGCTATTGGGGATGGTACAACAGGTGCATCGAATGAAGATTGTGCAGAGGTTGAAATTCCTGACGAAATGCTTTTGTCATCAACTGGTGACCCCATCGCAACCATTGTTGAAAGTACATTTCCTATGTTCCAAAATGGTTCGTGCGATAATAGTTTTCTTGAGAGTCGGGCAATTCTTGCACCAACACTTGATGTTGTGAGCGCAGTTAATGAATACATGAGTAACATGCACGAAGCTGAGAGTAGAACATATCTTAGTTGTGATTCTGTTTGTAGAGCTGAGAATGGAGATGGGGTACTTGCAAACGTACACATACCTGAGTTCCTTAATGGTCTTAAGGCATCTGGTATACCAAATCATTCATTAACATTAAAGGTTGGTTCACCAGTTATGTTGTTAAGAAACATTGATCACTCACTCGGACTATGCAATGGTACTAGATTGGTTGTCACCAGGCTTTCAGAACATGTCATTGAGGCTAAAATAATGTCAGGCAGTCATGCAGGTACACGGGTTTTGATTCCTCGGATGAGTATGACTCCCTCCGATCCGAGATTGCCATTTAAGTTCAGTAGAAGACAATTCCCAGTAATGCTTTCTTATGCCATGACCATTAACAAAAGTCAAGGTCAAACATTATCACATGTGGGGTTGTTATTGAAAAAACCGGTGTTTGTGCATGGTCAATTGTATGTTGCTGCTTCAAGAGTTAGTAATCCAACTGGTTTAAAGATTTTTCTTTGTAATGATTTAGATAAATGTTGTAAGTCAACAACTAATGTTGTTTACAAAGAAGTATTCAATAATTTGTAATGTTTATACTATTGTAATGTTAATACTAATTAAGTATTTTACTTTAGAACAATGATTACAAACTTTTATTACTGTTGTTAAAATAATATATTTAAAATAATTATTAAATATATATTTTATAATAACAATTCAATTGTTTAATTATTTATGTAACATCCTTATAAATATATCCTTTTATTTTTTGTATCTACAATATAATATACTTATAACATAATTGTTTGTATTTTTCATACCGTGCATCGCACGGGTGAAATGCTAGTATATAAAAGAACTTAACTTGTTTGTGCTATCAATTTTAAGGAGTCTTCTACCAACATATTTCACTTTTTAAAAAGTTGAAACGTATTTATATTAGTGAGTTAATACCTAAAATGATCCTCGACTATAATGGTTTTTTCTCAATTTCGTTCTAAACGACTTTGGTGACCTAATGTAGTCATAGATTTTTATGTTTTTGCTCAATTTAGTCCCAGACTTTTGTATTTTTGACTTTCTGCTCAATTTAGTCATCTATTTGGTGTTTCGTCCATTTGGTGTTAAATAGATAGACAATTCAGTAATTTCAATATTGACATTTCTTTACTCCTAGACTGGCAAAGTGCGAAATCCCTCTTTCTTTACGAATTACTCCCAGAATTACTCCCAAACCTACGAATATAAAATTTGATTTGTAGGACTGGAGTAATTCTGGAAGTAATCTGTAAAAGAAAGAGGGATTTCTGTAACACCCCCGATTTTACCATATTTTTAAAACTTAATTGCAAGAGAAAAGCAATCTAATCATTCATTAAACATAAAGCGGAAGCAGTCTAATCGGGAGTATTTTCCCATATCTTACAGTACTAAAGATGCACAGGCGGGAAAACTAAACAGTATAGACAAGACAAAAAGGGTCAAGGCACACAGGCCGCTCAAATGGCTCACAGGCCATCAAAACAAAACGTCTAGGCAAGGTGACTAAGCTATCTATCGCTCCAAGTCTAGCGCTCTCGGGCATCTACTCAAAACCTGTAGAACAAGGAAAGCATAGCATGTGGATGACACCCGGTCAGCGAATATTGCTGGTAACCCATCAATACACATTAAATACCATATATAGATAAGTATAAGACAAAACCATTTTGAAACAGAATACAGTATATATCATTTCAAAGCCATGGAGAGAAGTCAACTTCAAACACTCATCAAACACTCTCAAATAAAAGGGGATTACCATTCTCCCAGCAACGACAAGACATCAAACATGAAAGACAATACAACTCAAGATGCATTCTACTGATCACAAAGTAGAATACATCAAGACATGCTCAATAGCAAAGAATACACATTTACACAGTGACAACTACATGTCACAAGTTGCATAGTCCCAACCTTATGGCTACCCTCGACCTTATTTCAGTTCCAACCATTACCTCCTAGTGCCACCATGTACTTCTGAGTCCAACCTTATACCGCCAGGGACCGTCGTCCCCCCTCCAACAACCTCCAACATACCACCTACATATCAGTACACGAGGGCACGATTCATTTCATTCACACAACCACCTACATGTGAGCAAAGCTCAAGTAACAACCACCCACATTTAATCATAGTCACATAAGTCATCATCATTACCAAGAAGACTAAGGTTCCACAATAACCTTAATCAAGTATCAATCAAAGGGTACACCGATTACATACGTTCATATCATAGGCATCAATCAATGGATCACAACAAAGACATGAAACCATACTCAACAATGAAGGATCACAATCCGACACCAAACGATGGTTAACACAAGTTGCCAATCCCAATAAGAAAGGACAAACCGCACATACTAGCATTTCAACATCAAACTAGCATGCTTATCAAACGAAAAAACCAAAAGTAATTCCATAGAACATTCAAGACTCACAATAGTCCAACGAATCACAAAGTCGGACCTTTAGCACGATTCAAGACACCAAATCCTACATGGAATCCTAACATACCGTTCTAGACATACGAAACATCAAGAAGACTCACAAATAGCCCAATAAAACAACATCGGGAGGTCAAAACATCAATACCAAGTCAAAAGAATCACGGGGAACAAATCCCCGCACATTGCCAACAACGTTCCCCGCGGGTGGGGTGATAGGCATATTTTACACTCATATTTTAGGTACATCTTTATAATAATTTTGCATTAATTATTTACTATTATATATTAATTATTCCATTTTAGAATTTAATATATAATATATAATATATAATATATAGAATATATATTACGTACTATCTTTTATATATATATATATATATATATATATATATATATATATATATATATATATATATATATTTATTTATTTATTTATTATGTACTAGTTTACAGTTTATACATATATATGCGTTATATGTATTTTTTAGTATTTATATATTTATTATTTTAGTATTAGTTTATTCCACTCCCTAATTTCTTAGCATGCAACAAAATATTGAACCTTATATTTTATTTGCTTTGTACATGGCGTGTGGCAAAGAGGAGTCGTCAACATTGTGCGAAGATTGCGGCAAGACTGAGCAAGATCCATTCGTACGGCGCAAAAATAGGAATGAATTGAATGGTAGAATTCTATTTTGAGAATACTATAAATAGAATAAGCTTTCTATTGTAAAATGTTCATTCTTCCCCTCTCGAATATTCTTTAAAGTTGTTATCAATATCCATTCGCGGCTAATTTCTAGTTTGGTTTAGTGAATTGAAGCCCCGGAGTTCATTACGCTGTAAGGTTATTTATTTATTTTTATTATATATTTTTTATGCATTTGAGTATTAAATATTCTTCTAAGTTATTTGAAATAATTGTGTCATTTAATTGCTAGGGAGGCCTACTAGTTATTTATTTGATATAATTATTTGCTATATTAGATAATGTTATGCTACAAATTACTCTAATATTCAGTAGCAACTGGGTTAATTATTGACGGCTTAGTGATAATTGGACTCGGGTAGAATATTTTCCTAAATTAAATGCAACCGCTTGTGCTTGTGTTATTTAGTTTGTCGGTTTTCCTAGTTCCTATTGCTGCTATTAAATTAAATCTATAGTGCTTGTCTTAGGTTATTTAGTAGTTAGGGGTAATTAAACCGCGTGTGCTTTATTTACCTACAACTAAGGGAAAACAGAAATGAAATAATTTCACGACAAATATTCAATTGCATATTAATTACTTCATGAATCAATGATCAGCGTTAAACTCCGGTGGTGGATCTTTACTAACCAAGGTTCTCTATTATAAGCGTTTCAATATATTATTTTCATCTGTTTATTCGTTCGATTAAATTTCTCGTTTATTTAATTTCTCTTTTATTTAATATTTATTCTCGATATATTCCAAACCCCCCCCCCCCCCCCATTATTTCCTTGAGCACAAAAGTTAAACTAGTTACTCCTCGTGGGATCGATCCTTACTCCCGCTACTACGTTTGTAAGGTTTTAATTTGAGAGCCTACGACAGCTCATCAAATTTTGGCGCCGTTGCCGGGGAGATTTTCTAGCTTATTTTGTGTTTGTTTATTTATTTAATTATTTATTTTGTTATTTGTTTATTTGTTTTTAATTTGTCCCAAAAAAAAAATCATCAAAAATATAATTTTCTTTTCTTTCGTTACTTTTACATAATTGCTACACTATCTTTAACGGTTTATGCCTATAACTCGATCTGCTAACAAAGAAGTCTTGCCATACAATCCAGAAATTGAAAGAACTGTACGCAGGTGGAGGAAACAAGCTTTGAGGAAATTAGAGTTTAGTGATCTGGCTACCGATTCTGCCAACTCTGATTTAGAAGAGGAACCCATGGCTCAAAATCGGACCTTAAAAGAGCTTGGAGTTCCAAATTTAGATCAACAACCATTATGCATCACTTTCCCTGTTCTGGATGCTAATGTCCAATTTGAATTAAAATCTGGATTAATTCATCTTCTGCCTTCTTTTCATGGACTTGCAGGTGAAGACCCTCACAAACACTTGAAGGAATTCCATGTGGTGTGTTCAAGTATGAAACCCACAGGGGTTACTGAAGAACAAATCAAGTTGAGAGCCTTCCCCTTTTCTTTGAAAGATTTAGCGAAGGATTGGCTATATTATTTACCCTCCGGAAGCATCACCACATGGAATAACTTAAAGACAGCGTTCCTTGAAAAATATTTCCCAGCTTCAAGGGCGGCCAACATTAGAAAGGAAATCTGTGGTATAAGGCAAAACAATGGAGAGTCATTGTATGAATATTGGGAGAGTTTCAAGAAACTATGTGCAAGCTGCCCACACCATCAAATCAGTGATCAATTACTCATCCAGTACTTTTATGAAGGACTCTTTCCAATGGATAGAATCATGATTGATGCCGCAAGCGGTGGTGCTTTAGTTGACAAGACACCGGACGCTGCGAGAACTCTAATTGCAAACATGGCTGCAAATTCTCAACAGTTTGGCAATAGACTTGTCCAACCGTCTAAGCAAGTGAATGAGGTAAATATTTCTGCTCTTGAACAACAAATTACTGGTTTAACTACTCTTGTTCGTCAATTAGCAGTAGGCAATATGCAAACTGTAAAAGCATGTGGAATTTGCTCGGTAGTTGGGCATCAAATTGATGCCTGCCCAACTCTTCAAGAAGAACCTATTGAACAAGTTAACATGGTTGGAGGTTTTCCTGGACAACCTCAAGGTAAGTATGATCCGTTTTCCAATACATATAATCCTGGATGGAGGGATCACCCAAACCTTAGCTATGGGAACTCACAAGGGAACCAGTTTGTTCAGAATCGTTCCAATTTTCAACAGTATAGACAACCATTTCCTTCAAGACAACAACCGACCCAAAACTTTAGCTCAGGTATGAATCTAGAAGATATTGTTAAATCTCTTGCTACTAACACTTTGCAGTTTCAACAAGAAACACAACTATTCCAACAAGAGACAAGAGCTAGTATTCAAGAAACAAAGGTTAGTATTCAAAACTTAGAAAGGC